ACTGACAGCAAGTTCTAGCACAATTTGGAATCTGTGCTCAGATTGGGTTTGAAAAGAAAGAGATGGGGGCCCCAAGCAGCTCTCTTGAACACTCAGGTACACGGGGCTGGACCCACGGTGCCCCAAACCTGCACACACTTACCACATAGGTACCGGGTGATGAGGAGGAGTATGGAATCTAGAAACAAGAGGTGGGGAAGCCACGTATCAGAAACCCCACCTCCGACAGGCACGCCCTTTGCCTTCCAAATCCTCCTGGGGACACAACCCCACCCTTGATGGGAAAGACACTGAGCCACCTGGAGAGTGTTCCTAGGAGGGTCAGGGATATGAACAAAGTCCAGTTCCTATACTGAACTGATTCCGAGAGCCTCGGCAGGGAGCCTTAGGGGGCTATGGGCACAGAAGACCCTCCTGTTCGAGCACAGGAAAGTGAGAGCTTGGCCCCACGCCCCAGCCTCCCACCCAGAACTGTGTGCGCTGAGCCCCTTCCCAGATTCTTCACTGGAGCGCTGGAAGCCAGGCCTGCCGGGAAGAGATCAGCAGGAGCTCAACGTGGACGGTGCTCCGAGCGCGGCTCCCAGCTCACACCTAAGCGTCTGCAGAGCAGACGGCAGAGCCCCTGATGGCCCCAAGTCTCCCCTGACAGGTAGGCTTCTCCTTGGAGGCATCAGGCAGAATCCTGCTGCCTTCCACTCCCCATCACATGGCCAAACTGGGGACGGGAACCACCCTGCACCCTAGAACCTCATCTCTAGCAAACAGCAACCCCCCAACCTGGGTACTCACTGAGTTAGCACTGTTAGGATTGGGCCAGGGTCTGCCAGCTCCCGGGCCCCTGAGAGAGGGAGAGAGAGATGGAGACAATGAAAAAGGTGCCATAACCACTAAGGGGGTGGTGCCAGGGGCAGAATGAGAGGGCTGAAACCACTGATAGGACAGTCCTAGCGCTGTTCTGGGTAATAACGCATAGTTCCATGCGCAGAAATCTACAAATGCCTGCATGTTATATATAAAACTTGTGAAGAATAATCACATCTCCTCTGCATGTGCATTTTCCTAGGAAGGGAACACACAGATTCTTACAGGGATCCACCACCACAAAGGGGCTAAATCACTGAAACACTGGAACAGTGATCAACGTACAGAGGTTCAAATCTTGACCCTGCCACTTAGCGCTGTGTGAGGCTCTCTGTGCCTCAGTTACTTCATCTGTCCGTGGGGGATAATAAGCACCTCACAGGGTTATTATGAAGATTTGGTGAGTGAATCCCTGCAGCAAGCTCGGCATTGTGCCTGGCACGGATAAGCACTACATGAGGCATGTGAGGTCTCATCACCAGTGAGCCACCAACAGGGTCGTTTTTGCCTTACATGTTAATCCCGGGCATGGCGGGGCCGAGGGAGTTGGGTGGTGGTCTCATGCCGCTGCCGTAATTCTGCAACGATAACCAAGGGTCAGTCTATGAGAAGGAGAAGGGGAACCAGAGAGAGGAGGGAGGAAAAACAAACAGAACATAAGCAAGAGGGTTAGTCTGTGAAAAGAATCTGATGAGAAAGTAATACATTCATTAAGAAAAGTTGGGGGGGGTGAGAACCAATGACAGGACCACGATGATAAGCCAGCACAGAGGGACAGTCACAGCTTTAAAAGCATCTTCAGGGGCTGCAGATGGCTCTCGCAAAATCATAGGGGCTCCAGCATGGCGCTCATGATGCACCTGCACCTTGGCCTCAGGCAGGAAAGGGGAACAGGCTCCGTAACAGGACCGGCTCGTGACTACCCCCCACCTTAGAAACCCTGGGGAAGAAGGAACTGCCGGCAGGTTGCAGGCGGGGGTTGGGTCTGAATGTGGCAGGGGTCCAGCATGCACAGAGCCCACCCCGCTCCAGGTCTGGGTTATCCCCCAAACCCACCCCGGGTCAAGTCATCCGATTCACGTGGGACCCTCACCAGGCACACTGATGGAGGAGGAGGAGGGAAGCTCACTCTCCGCTCAGGGGAAGCACCCTTCTGTTCAAGAGAAGAGTCTACACAGAGCTTGGAAACTTGCAAGAGTCCCAGCTCAGCTCGATACAAGGAGTGGGGTGGGTCACAAGAGCGCCTGGACCAGGCATCCTTTTCACCTGGCTCATCTCCTGTTGCTGCTGCTGCTTGCCGACTCCCCTCTTCCAGAGGTATTTCCTTTACAGGGATAAATCTTCCCTTCTGCACTCAGCAGACTCCTACATATCTTCCAATACCCAACTCAAACAGCACCTCCTCCGCGAAGCCTTCTCTGCCCACCCCCTGGGGTTAACTGCTCCATCACAACTACTTCCATAGTGCCTTATAATGTCCTCTCCCCACAGCCTGGAACACACTGGCTTATGACTGTGGCCACATGTCCATCTCTTCCACTGGGCTCTGAGTACCTCTGGAAGGTGGGAGGTCTATCTAAATGATCTTCATAGCCCGTGTCACCCCACACACAAGCCGGCAAAGACTGGGTGCTGAATTATCAACGAAGGAGTGAAGAAGTGAATGAAAAGTAAAACGAGCCTGGTTGTAGCTTAAGCTTCACCTTTGTAGGAGAATCTGAAAGGAGCAGGTTGGTGGAATTTTAATGCAAAGGAATAATCAGCATTAGCTGTTTTTTTACTGAACACATAACACATTTTGCATAGTCTCTGGTTTGAACCTTGTAACAATGCCATAAAGCTAGTATTATTCCCATTGTACAGAAGAGGAGACTGAGGGTCTGAGAGGAGAAAGATTTTCCCAAGGTCACAGTCAGCGAACGCCTCAGCTGGGGTTTAAACCTAGATCTGCGAGCCTCAGGGTCTGCACACACTACACCACACAAATGGGCGGCAGGGAGGAGGTGGGAGGAGGCAGATGGGAGAGGGGACACACAGGAGGCTCAACAGCCAGAAGTGACAAACTCAGAGCTGCCATCAGGCTGGTGGCAGGTCCTTCCGCCAGGGGCCACCTCTTCTGCTTGGTCACCCAGAAAGGGGCTTGGAGTCTAGAAAATGCCCAGATGGCATGGACAACAACAGCAGAGCACCAAGCTGGCTGGCAAAGAGCAAGGCCTGGAGTGGGGGGAGGCAGGGGAGGGCGGCCTTGGAGGGCTCCTCAGGGAGCTGGCACGTGTGGAAACGTCCCCTGTGCCTGCTCAGGGCCGAGTCCCTGGGCCGGAAGACGTGCATCTGCCCTCATGGAAACAGTGGCAGGCTCTGGGGATGTGCGAGGCCAGGCCCTCTCTACAGATGGATGCCTTGGGTGGTGAGCAGAGCCCCAGATCTGAGGTCAGAACACAGAGAGCTTGCCCCGGCTCGGCCACTGCTGGTGACAGGGCAGACCACACAGTAGTGCTTACTCCATGTCAGGCTGTGGTATGGGCTTTGTATCATCTACATTTAACCACCACAACACCCCCATTACTATACCCACTTTAAAGATTAAAACACTGAGGCTCAGAAGCTATGCACACAGTTTCAGAGCTGCAACCCCTCTGCTTTGCTACCTTGTCCATGAAACAGGGACAAAGAGCCCCGAGTCTTAAGGGCCTGTGTGAGGATCAAGTGAAATGATGGCTCTGAAGCGCTGTCAGCCCACGAAGGTGTGTACCAACGTGGGATGTTATCAGGATGGACACCAAAGTCCTTAATGCTGCCTTGACGATCACAGAACCTCAGGTCTTAAAGGGCCCTTTCTAAGCCCACGGGCAGTTACTAAATCCCCTGTACAAACCTCAGCCTCACTTCCGCTCTTCCCGAACAGGAAGCTCTCCACCTTCCCGAGCAGCCCACTCTCGGCCAATCAGAAAGGCCTTCCAGATAGAGAATGAGATCTCTTTCAGGGGCTGCAGCTGCATCCGGCTACCTCTCATACCCAGGAGAGGCCAGGGTGGAAGGCTGGCCTGGGGACTGGCGGGAGCCTAGGATGCGGCAGCACACAGAGTGGGGTGGGGAGCAGACATGCAAGGTGCTCGCCCCTGAAAGACGTCTGGGCATGCAGACCCTCAGGGGAGGCTTCGGGTGCACCATCTGCTGTCACTAACCCTACCCCACCTTTGGGAGCCTGCCCACAGCCAGCACAGCCATCCCCCAAGAGGCAGCAGGACCACCAGATCCTCCCCACTGCAGGGGCCCAGATTCCAAGGGCCACTCACTTGTCTCCACTTCATAGATCAAGCTAGAGGCCCAGAGAGGCCAAAGACTTGCCCAAGGCCACACAGTAAATCAGGGGTGAAAGTAGGATTGAAAGGTTTTAGAGGGAAGTTTTCAGATCAGAGACAGCAGCCTTTTCAGAGGACGGGAGGGCTTGGAAGCATGCTTCACAGACTCAGCAGAAATGGTTGTCTCTTCTCCCAGCGCCTGCCTGCCCACAGCACTGGGTTCTGGGCTGTGACCACAGCCAGACTCTCCCCCTTCCTCTGCTGTCAGCACTGCCCTGCAGTGACGGGGCAGTTAAGAGACACAGGAGGAGTTTTCAGTGCAGCCCTGGGGCCAGCCACATCCAGGGGTGTGTGTGTCTATCTTCCCACACCCCTACCGTGTCCTGACTTGCCCAACACTCTGGGCAGAGGGGTCTGATTCATAGTCAGGAGCTATAAAGGGTCAGGCCCACACTCTTGGTCTCAGTTCCATGTTCTGGGCAAGGTCCGTGGCGACGTGGGAAAGCACTGCGCAGCCGGCAGGGACTGCGGCCTCCCTCTGCTCCCTGGAACCCCTCAGCACAGGGGCTCCTTCTCAGTGCTGCCTGGGCCCAGAAGATCAGTCTTTAGAGTGGGTCTGTCAAAGGGGACTCCAAGCTGTCGGGTAGGGGACTAGCCACGTGGCAGCCTGGACAGTCCCACCGGGAGGCCCCTGAAGGGCCACCATGGGAAGTGCCTCAAGTGGCCCCACTCTCTCCTCACCCAGGCCCTGGTGCTCTGGCCAGGCTTATGATCCATTTCCTTTTGTGGCCTCTGCTCAGGGGCACTGAGCTTGGACTGTCCTGGATCAGTGGGGGGAGGCGGTTTCTTCTGACGGCACAGGGCTGTCCAGAGATTGTGGGTTTACCCTTCACCAGAACATTCTCAAATGCAGATAAGCCAGGGCAGCACCGGATCCCAGGCCAGGCTGGCTCCCCCACAACCAGAACGGCAGAAGCGCGGGACACGGCATCTGCAGGGTCCGTGGGCTGCAGCCCCTGCGTGCAGTGTGTTCTTGCCGCGTGAGCCTGAGAAGCCTGGGCAGTCGCAGCCTCATCCTAACAGGATTCGCTTTTGAAAACTTAACCGAAAGTTTCCACCTGACACGGGCATATGCACGATTCTTTAAGGAGATGACACAATTACGTGGGACTATTGCCTCCTTTTCAGCACTGGCCATTTCACCAGAACAGAGTAATACCCGCCTCAGGCACTGAGGGTTCCTCTGTGACTTTGAAAAGAACTGCTGGATCCTTTGTGACATTGAGGCTAAAATGCAACACAACCTCAAAAACTACGATGTCACTCCATTCGGTTTTGAAATCAAGTAGCCCCAAGACCACACTGCAACTATTCTTTGTTCAGAAAGTTCCAGAGTGGGCCCACTATCAGCAATCTTACTCCCCACTTACTTGCCATAACAGGCGGAAGGTTTCCTACCTCTGTGTCTGGTCTCAGCACAGCACTGAGCACGCAGTTGTGCTTACTGAAGACTGCCTAAAAGGGCTTGGTCACCCTTCCTACTGGCCCAGGCACAGTAGGGACAGGGCTCCCCCTGAGCCCAGGTTCTAGGGAGGAGGTGGGGTCCGTGGAACACCCTCCAGTGCCTGGTGCTGAGGTCTGTGTCTCACAGCCACTGTTTTTTGCAGCCCCACCGTGAGCCCCATGAGGTCATCACCCCGTCACCTATCTTGCAGATGCAGGACGGGAGGCCAAATGTGGCTGGGCCGTGGCCAGAACAGTTTCCCAGTACTCTGAGCTCATCCCTCTCCCGTCCCCTGGGAGCGACCAGGGCAGCACTCAGTGGACAGAGAGAAAGGGCTGGGGGGGGGGGCAGGGGGAGCCTGAAGGTCCAAAACTTCCAGGCTCTGCAATGCCTACTCCCTGGCTGAGCCCAGAACCTGTGATCCATCCCACACCCCAATCCTGCTCAGGCCCAGGCTCACTCAGGCAAGGCCTTTCTGTCCCCGGTGAGGGGCTGATGCAGGCATCTGGACTGCTCTGAAGATCTGGCTCTGCAATTCAATACTGCACCCTACCCAGAGGGGTATAGGTGGCATGGGAAAAGCACTTTAGGAACGAACCAAAAACACTCATTACAAAAACCCCTATGTTCACTGCAGCATTTTCCACAATAGCTAAGATATGGGAACAACCTAAGTGTCCATCAATAGATGAATGGATGAAGAAGATGTGGTGCCCGTGTACACACACACACACACAGGAATATTGCTCAGCCATAAAAAAGAAGGAATCATGCTGTTTGTGACAAGACGGATGGGCCTTGAGGGTATTCTGCTAAGTGAAATAAGTGAAATAAAGACGGACAAATACTGTGTAATTTTCACCCATATGTGGAAGCTAAAGAATTAAACAAATGAACAAACCTAAGAAAACAGAAACAGTTACAGAGAACAAACAGGTGGTTGCCAAAGGGGAGGAGGTTGGGAGAAGAGAAAAACAGGTGAAGAGATCAAGAGGTAGAAACTTCCATTTGCAAAATAAATGAGTCACGGGTATGAAATGTACAGTGCGGGGAACACAGTCAATAACTATGTAATATCTTTGGTGACACATCATAACAACTAGACATACTGTGGTGATCATTTTGAAATGTACAGAAATATCCAATCACTGTGTTGTGTAACAGAAACTAACATAGTGTCGTAGGTCAATTATACTTCAAAAACAAACAAACTCATGGAAAAAGAGATCAGATTTGTGGTTACCAGAGGTGGCCAGTGGGGAGAGGGGTGCAGGGGGCTGGAGGATTAGAGGAAAGCAGTCAAAAGGTACAAACTTCCAATCACAAGATGAGTAAGTACTAGGGATGTAATGTACAGCATGATAAATATGATTAACACTGCTGTGTGTTAAATACAAAAGTTGTTAAAGAGAGTAAATCCTAAGAGTTCTCATCACAGGGAAAAAAAATTTTTCTATTTCACTAATTTTGTATCTGTATGAGAGGATGTATGCTCACTAAAACTTACTTGGGTAATCATTTCAGTATGTTTGTAAGTCAAACCATTATGCTGTACACCCTAAACTTACATAGTGCTGTATGTCAAATTATATCTCAATAAAACTGGGTTGGGGGGGCAGGAGAGATGCTTTCAGAGCCCTTGAGGCTGACAGGGGTGGGGAGGGCCAGCTGGCCTCACCCCCAGGCTAGCCTCTCCCGCCTCTCAGGGCTTGTGAGAGAGCTCCACCCTTGTGCCTACTGGGGAGGCCACACTCGGCCCAGGAGGCCCTTTCCCACGAGATCTCAGCCTTCAGGACTCCCACCTCTTTAAAACGTGCCACGAGGGTGTGCCAGACTGCTGGTCAGGGACATGGACATGACTCGACTCCCGCTAAGCCAGAAGGAAGTCCTAAACTTCCGGAACACACTGCTCTCAGTCTGTCTGATAATATCCATTCCCAGCTTCTGGAACCTCAGTATTACTACAGGCTTAACAAACTGTTAATGGCCTTTGCCAGAAAAAAGAAACTTGAAGCAATCACCAAACCCAAGCAGCTCGAGTCCTGAACATTGATTTTAAGACCCCGAGTTGGAAAACACAAACTGCTTACTAAGAGGCCACTCTGTGCCAAGCATCAGCCAAGAACTCGAGCCTCCTCCTTTCAGCAACCCTGGCAGATACTGGTCTCCTTCCCATGTTACAGATGAAGCTGCTAAGTCTCTAAGAATCCAGAGGGGTGGGTGGTGAAGTCTTCCATCATCCTGTATCCCCCAGACTCCCCAGGACATTCTGGAAGCCCAAGGCCACCACTGATTTCTACTCTAAGAGTATCTCTAGTGTGCAGCCGAGGAATCTGAAAGTTTCTGACTCAGGAAAGGGAACAGTGCTTTCAGCCCCTGTTGCCCCTCCCCCAGGTTCCTGCAGAGGTCAGCTCAAGCCGGCCGCCTGGCAGGAAGGGGCCACTCCAGTGGCTTAAAAGGAGCTGGTGAAAACACAAGCTTTGGGGGATTTGAGGAAAGAAAAGAAAACAAGAAAACTGGAGCTGCAATTGCTGTGGGCTTGCTTCCTTTTACAATTATGGGGCCAACAAAAGACAAGGACCTCCCTAAAATCTTTCAACACCACAGATGTTGCAGCCATCACCGAGAAGAAAGCAGTGGGCTGGGTGTGCTGTAAACATAATTCCGACAGAGCGGAGGACTGTGGGGTGTGGGCAGACACCTCTTCCTACAAAAAAGGGAGGCATGCCTGTGTGAGCAGGGCACTGCTCCACCCCCCGGGAACCGGAAACCTGTGCAGGGCCCAGAGAATCCAAATACCTTCAAGCAGGGGTGGGAGAGACAAGCAGGCTTCCAGGCAGGGCAGAAAAGAAGGGAAGGAACACCCTGGAACAAAATCCTCCCACTCTCACTGTGAAATGTCCCTCTCCGTATTCAGACTTCTGGCTTCTTCTAGACAGTCAGATTCTAGAGAATTCCCAAGGAGAGCAGAGCATGGCAAACTCTGCCACAGCTACTGCAGGACACAGAGCCACGTTCACACACTCAGAAGAGTGGGAGCCAACTGTGAGAAGGTTCCAGAACAGGAGCGGCCTGTCAGACCCGTGCCCAGTGGTCTGGCGGGACTCAGGACCTGTGGGGTATGGAGCTGGGTCGCAAGGAGCCAGCACTGTGTTGGAATTGTAACGAGGGAGACAGAGCACTTCAGAGAGTTTCTCCCAGAGGCTCTCCTGAACTGTCCGTTTTGGCAGTGGAGCCCCTCTGGTCAGAAGAAATCTTAGGCAGAAGCCTGGTACACGAAAACGGCAAACACCAGGCCGCCTCTTAGCTGGGGTGGTACCACTGAGAATCACCTCTCACTGGACAGGTGGGGTCACCGGGGCTTACTGGGGCCCACAGAGGTCGAAGTGGTTTGTCCAAGGTCAAACAGTAAGTTGCAGACAGAATAGTGTAATATCCTGCCTCTGGGTCACAACAAAATGACCAATAAGCCAACTCAAGTCACCCCCACCACCCCGGTGGGAGGAAGCTTTGGTGACTCATATCACTGCTCGGGCACTCAGACCCCTGCCTTCCAAATTCCTCAAATCCTCCCCACGGAAGGCTCCCAGATGCCCCTCTTCCCCAGCTCCTTCGGTGTGTGTGGGGGTCCCCTCGACTCTGCCTGCCATGGGGCTGCTCCTGGCTGTGTGTGGGGCCATCCATGGGCAGAAAGGGCAGCTACAGCCATGGTCACGCCTTCTCCCCTCACTTCTGCGAGCTGCACAATGAGGAAAGACTGACAGACTTGGAAAGAGGAGAGAAAGCGGGTGCACACAGATGGCCAGGGAGACAGACAGACAGACAGACAGACAGGCAGTCAGTTACCTGTGGGCCAGGCCCCATGGGCCCCATGCCTCGGGGAGGGTTCATTCTCTGCATTGATCCTCCCATGTTGGGATGCCCTGCATGAGAGAGGGGTGAGTGGCAGGGGTGGAGGCAAACAGCAGGAGAGGAGGAGCCCTCCCCAACATCCCCCGCCCTGGCAGCCCACCCTGCCCTCTCTACCTTGTTGTCGCGTGGGGTCCATGGAATTGGGCAACAGTGGCTGTGTCCCAGGAACTCCTCCCGGAGGCTGAAAGAGACATAAGACATGAGCTGAGTGGCTGCTTCCTGGAGCTGGGGGATAGAAGGGGATGCACCTGCCTGCCCAGCTCCCCATCTGACCATTTAGAGCCACTCTGGGCTTCCCCAGAGACCACCTCTTGTTGCCTGCTGGCTGGGGGGACCCAGGGAGTGGCAATCAGCCCCAGCTGGCATGGGTCAGCATGGGTGCTTCACCAGCGGGAGAGGAACCATCGCCCAGCACAGCTGTCTCCATGGGTCTGAGTACCTGCCGGAGCCATTGCGGCAGAACAGGAGGAACACTCAGGACCCGATTCCCTGTCTTCTTCCACCATGTGAAATGCCACCTTCTGACAGGGGTGAAGGAGAAGGCCTCTAGGAGAGGGTGAGCAGGACACTGAATGAGAACCTGCCCCCTAAAGCCTGATACAAGTGTGCACGCTGGTGGGATTACTACAGAGGAGGTGAGGACTGGGTGCCAGGGGTTTCCAGCGTGAATGTCTGGCATACCCACTATGAAAACCCATTAAAAGTGATTTGTTTGAGACTGAAGTTATTTCAGCTGCAATATGAAGAGAAAAGCACAGCTAGGGGCCGGGGGGATATTTGATTCTAGAACCCCATGCCTCAGGACTACGCACTGGCCCCTGGCTTGGAGAGGAAAGCCTTCCTGAAAGCTTGGCACCTGTGACAGGGACCCCCACCCCAACGCTGCCGAGGGGCCCCCACCCCTGACTGTGCTGTGGGGATGGCTGAGTGGGGAGCTACTGACCCAACAGTGAACCCCAGATCACTTTTGGAATGAGGGGGTGAGAAATCGGGCACAAGTTCTTACTGTCAGCATCAGACTGGTGTCTGTATATGGGGTCGGGGTGCTCATGGGAGGGCTGCATAAGCCTGTGGTACTTGCTGTCCATGAAGCTGCATTTGGCACCTGCTGTTTCCCTCTGCTTGGGGCTGCTAAGAGCCCTGGGTCTCAGCTGCTTTGATTTCTTGATTTCTCCCAGCTCTGCATCCACCCCCGAGTTCCCAAGTTCTGAATCACTTGGCTGGTTTGTGTCTTCCCATTTTGGGGTTTGGGTTATTTCTTGAGCCTGGTGACAGGACTGAGATAACACAAGAAGACCTGCCACTGTGGCTGTCTGGTCTGGGGGCTCCTGGGATCTGAGATGCCAGGAGACTCCCCAGGTCTTGGAAGTCCCCCATCTAACTCTGCTGGAGCAGCCATGGGGGTCGGGAACTGCTTCCTCTCCAGGTAGCCCAGTGTTGACCACCATTTCTGGCCGGAAGCTCCCCCTTGGGTTCCCCTAACCCTGCTATGTATCAGACTCAGGAGAGTAGGGCTGCCCAGAGGTCCAGAAAGGGCCCGGGAGTACTTCCCTCCTTCTGTCACTGGGGTGACGCTGAGATGAGGCAGTCTGGGCCTCCTCCGCCAGGGAAGGAGGGTGTATAATGACCAAGATAAAAGGGTCCACGCTGAGAAGGCTGAAGCCCTCAGGTGTGAGAAAGAAGAAAAATAAAGGCTCATATATGGGACTGCAAGCACATGCCATGCACACACCCTCGGGGCCTGCTGGGGACAGAGATACTCTGGAGCTGTCTCATGGGCTCCTGGAAGTAGGCCAGAGCCTCGCCTCCAGCACCGTGGGGCAGGCGCAGGAAGTGTCTGCCCAGGGAACAGACAAATCCCAGCAGCATCTGCACGGTCACTCAGCTGCCTGCCCAAGTCCGCGAGCTGGGCGGGGCGGGGGCTCCACTGGGACGTGATGTGAGGGCTGCCTGACAACCCGGGCTTCCAGCCCTCCTCTCCTAAGCCCTGCTGAAGCCCATGTTCACCGCCTGTCCATCCACCCTTCCTTGGAACACAGCAGTGCTCTCTGTACAAGGCTCCAAACCTCTAGCCAGGGAGGCAGGTGGGAGGATGGCCTTGCAAGACTTTAAGGCCAGGTCAACGACCCTTAGCTCCTTGTCCCCCCAAGTGCCCTTCTCATCGCCCTAACCCAGGAGGTGACGTAAGCCTGAGCTGCTTCTGCTTCCTCCTCCTGCCCTGGGGAGGGGTGAGCTAACTCAAGAGGCAGAGAGGTTTCTGTTGGACCAACAGACCGAGTCAAATCCCAGGAAAAGGGCACATCCCCTCCTTGGGGGACAAAAATTTCTTGAGTTCACAAAAAATACTGGACATCGCTGTAGATTTCCAACGGAAGGTGGGGGGTGGGCCGATTGATTTGTAATGCAAGGTACAGATGACAGATTTATTCTCCATTTGCTCTCTTGGGCACTTGCTCATGCTTAATTGATAAATAGTAACATACACTTTTCCTCTCATGTCCTTAATTGCTGGAGGAAGGGCCACAATTATGATAAGAAAGCATCTGTTCTCTCCCTAGGGCGGAGGCCAGTGGGGGCCAAGGAGAGCCCTGGATGGCCAGGAGGGAAAGTCGCTGCTGGGGTCCCCACACGTGATTGCAGAGGAGGCCCACTTGGCAGCCCGCTAAAAACAGGCAGGGGCAGCACTTTTACAACCATGAAAGCTAACTGAACAGGGTGAGATGGAGAGGAAACAGCACTGGGCTGGGAGCTGGAGGCTGACTCAAGCTCAGCTCCAATCATCGGGAGACTTAGGGAAGTCACCGCTCCACTCTAACCCTCTGTTTCCTCATCTGTGATAAATCCTAGGGTCGCTCTTTGCTCAAAAAGCTGGGCCTCTAATTCTTGTCCCCAAATGTCTCCTTCATGTCAAAGAAATAGGAAAGAAAAGACTTCAGGAAGAAAAAAAAATCTTTTTTAAACTATTTTAAAACCAGAGTCCTCCGGTTAAGAATGTCTCTCTAAAGTCCCTGTATCGTCTCACTCGGGGGTTTTCTTGCAGAGCCTTGAGAATGGAAGAAATCACACTCAGGTAACGCCAATCTAGCTGGTGACTTAACTCCCAGCTTCAAAGGCAACAAGGGCTGGATGTGCTGGCGTTGCAGTCAGAATTTTTGAAGGGTTTCTGCAAGGTCACTCTAAAAATCATGTATACAAAAATATTTGGGTATGAAAAGAAATTTCCCTGATGTTTCTCTAAAGTTTCTTTTATAAGTCTGTTTATTCTCAAAAGAAGATACTCATCTTTACCTCTGCAGCTCCCCTCCCGCCCCTGGATGTGCTGAACCAGGGAGGGCAGCTGGGGGCCGATTTCTCCAGACCACCTAGGATTGCCCCCCCTTAATGGGCCAGCATAAGGCACACAACCCCCAGGCTGAAAAGCCCTCCCTGTCAGCAGACCACTTTTCTAATTACATAAACAAATCCTTTCTTGTTTTGAGTTGGGTCTGCAACACTGGCAGACAGTGCTTAAAAACTCACAAATGTCCTTCTCGCTGCATCCGGGCCCCTGATCTAAGCATTCCTATGGGCCATTTCTCCCCTTAACAGCAGGATTATATTTACCAGCCTTGGCAATTCTCAAAAGCTTGCAGGAAAAAAAAAATGCACGTTGTCAATTAACTTCATTAAGGAGGAAGACCCTTTTCCAAGAAGGGACTGGAAGGGAGGGGCTGGGGCGTTACCACCTTCTCTAGAATAGCGGAAACCCTGTATTCCCACCCTGCTGCTTCTGCTGTTGCCCTCTGAGCTCCAGAACTGCCCAAAGCCCAAGAGGAGAGGCAGGTGAAATACTGGGAGGGGCTGCACAGGGCACCAAGCAGACACAGGGCCCTCTCTGGGGACCTGCTTATAAGCTGCCTCCCACGTGAAATTTGTCCCTTCACCTCCCAATCCTTCTCCCATATTTTGATTTGAGTCAAAATCCAGCTGGGGTCAAGGGTGGCCGAGTGAGGGGAGAGAACATGAAAAGGTACAGTACCTGGTTTCCCATTCTGATCGGGGGCCGGGGGCCGCCTGCATATCGCGGTGACATAAAAGGCTGCAATTACAGGGCATTCGTTCAATGACAGCCTGCAGTACTGCCCAGTGACAAACACAAACGCGCTCCACTTCACAAAGTCCAGTTTTGTTACAACTAGTGATCTTTTAAACTCTCTTCCTCCCAGTGGCCTCTTCCCTCCGGGGAAGGGAGTGATAGATGCATACAAAGAATGTGATTCCCACAACTGTTGACGGAGATGCCGGGCATCTAGGTGGGGACTTGGTGCCGGGCAGCGGCTGGGACTTGGTACAGGTCACAAAGGGAGAGCTACATCCATGTAGGTCAAAGGGGGAGACCCCTGCTCCTGGTAAGGGCAGGTGAAGAATCGGAAACAGGACTCATACAGAAAATTTTCAAGTGTGCAGACAAAGCTGGACACGAGCTCACACACACGCACACACACGGAAACTGCCGACAAAAGGGTGGGGGAGGGGAGCCAGGGTTTGGGGGTGGGGAAGAGGGTACACAATGAAAACAGTGAGGGGACAGCGGGCGCCCTAACGTAATGCAGGGGAATGGGGAAGAAAGCTTTCTCAGCAGCAAGAGTGCACAAAGAAAAGGCCAGGGATGCAGCTTCGGTTACGAACAATGGTTAACCAAACTCAAAAACCAAACCAAAAGTGAGAGAGGAAAAAACAAAAACGCAAAGGCCGCTGGCAAGGTCACAGAAATAGTTTTCCTTTTCTTTCGGTTTCATATCCAAGGGGTGTGTGATGTCCAAGGAATGAAGACTATCTTTAGGAGAAAAAAGATGTATTGGGGGGGGGATCTCCTTGGTCAATAAAGCCTCGAAGCCAATGGCTAGAGCACATTTTGATTTTTGTTTTTCCTCTGCTGGCTCTGTCCTCCTGGTGCCCCACGCCCCCCGGCGGGCGGGCGAGCCACAGTGCGTTTACCTGACTGTGGGGTCCCATCATGCTGCTGGGATTGTGAGGTGGAGGCTGTGCGTGCGGCGAGGGCTGTGACCCCGGAGGACCCTGTGAGGCCAGACAGTAGAGGCAGGTTATAGATCACAGCACATGGAGAAGCGCAGGAGAAGCTTAAAAGAACAAAAATTAAACCAAAACGAAGGGTGGGCGGCGGGCGTGCGGGCGGCGGGCTCAGGTTGGCAGGGAGGTGCGAGCTGCTGCTTGGGTCGCCGGCTCAACGGTGTACAATGGAGGGGGGCGGGAGGGAGAGAAGCTGATAAACACATTCACAGGGGATTTACAAGCACGACAAATAAAATCAAGCTCCTTTGTAGAAGCACGCAGGAGCAGGCTGGCACAGTCTGCCATCGCAGCAGAGTTTGCCATGTTAAATACACTGGTTGAGCCAGGCTCAGGGCACGCAGTGATCACAGAAACCGGAGCCACCCTGCAGAGCGGCCAGGCACCACTTCTGGGGATGCAGGAGCCGGGAGACCTGCCTTTGCGGAGTGCCGGGTCTAGGTGGATGAAGACAGGTCACGGGCCAAGACCCGGCAAGGACCCAGTGACCAGTCTACATTGAGGAGGGGCCCTGATGGATGAACAGGAACATACAGGAAGAGCAAGGTGGTTCCAGATTGAACACATGGGTAATGAGAGGAGATGGTCACCAAGCCCCAACTCAGCAAAGTTCATTAATACACCTTCACTCAAAATTGGCCTATGAATGGGGGTTGGTTCTCATTCGTATTTCTACCGATGAGGAAACTGAGACTCAAGGGATGAGGGCGCTTAGCCACACAACTGGAAGATGGCAGGGCCAGGAGGAGAATTCTGATGGGCCCAAGGCTCACCCTAAACCGTGCAGCCCAGGAGCAGAGGGACAGGGCTGGAGGCCCCTGATGGCTGGATGGGTGGGGGTGGTGCTGGGCTCTCCACTTCAGCCAGTGGCGAGCCACCCTGTCCCAAGCTGACTCCTGAAGCCCTTGACTCCCCACACAAGAAATGGGAGGATGAATCCACTCAAACCACGGGGCTGGTCAGACCATGGGCTGCCAACCCATTAGTGGGTGGTGAAATCAATTTAGTGGGTTGCAACCACTGTTTTTAAAAACCCAGAACAGAATAAAAATAGAATAGAAAAATAAAAGACAGCTTTCTGTTTCAAGGCAAATATTTTGCAGTTAATCTCTACTTCATTTATTAATACGTGTGTGCGTACTGGGTCACTGTGTCAAATATATTTTCTACTGCAGGTCACAGTCAAAAGCATGAAAATCCCATTTCAAAAGCACTTTGCTGCCCACTGGGGACAACTGGAGCGGGGCCCTGGTGCTGGTGACGAGGAGCCCGCCCTAATTCACTCTTTCCACCTGGGATTGTGCTGCTACCCCTGGAAGCAGAGAAAAAATTCAAAACAAGCATGGAGGACAAGTGTGCTTACATGACTTCTTTGAGATAGCCAAGCAGGATGTTCTTCCAGTCTCCTCCCTCGAAGCCAGGCTGCGCAGCCTTCTGCCTGCTCAGGAAGCACAGCCCAGAGCCGGGAGCAGGCAGGAGGGTGGGCAGCAGCCGGCGGGCACAGAGACAGAGAGAGGTGTGCAGAGAAAGGCGAAGGGACAGGCCTGGAGTTTCTCAGCCAAGCGAGGAGCTGCACACTTCCGGAAAGCCCCGCGGAGCAGATGTTCCCCTACCTGCCACGCTACTAATTTCAACAAGTGTGTGTCTTTCTAGCGGCTGCCAGCAACGGCATGGTTTGTTACCATGAGCAATTTTCTTAATTAACAGACATTAATTAGCCATTTAGCAATTTTGCAAGCATTTGTTTAGCGGCTTTCCTAAACATGAATACCACTGTGATAATGGCACTGATTAGAGGGTCCCCTAATTAACAGTACAGGGAAGGAAAATTGAAATCACATAAATTAAAAAGGGAGGGGAAGTTAATGAAGGCGGGACATATTTGCACCTGCAAGTCTTTTGTACCATGAAACTTGGGTGCAATGTAAACAAAATAAGATAATTTGAAGCCAACCTCTAAAAAAAGGAAAATGAAAAGAACGGAGGAACAGAGTTCAAGGGTGAAGTCCAGTCTCCAAGAGGGGGCAAAAGGCCTCCTGTCGGGTCCTCCGCTCTTGGCAGGAAGGAGCGCCTCCTCCCTCCCAATCCTTCGCCGCCCTCCCTAGTAATGTGCATCGTCAGGGCGAGCAGCCTGGCTCGGGCAGGTCCCTCACACCTGTGCACCCTGTCAGCCAGAGGAGGTTAGGAACGGCTGACTTGCTGACTGATCAGGGGAAAAGTAAGTAAAAACACCCACGGGGGCCTGAGTCAACAGCAGTCTTTGCGAAGGGCCAACACTAAAACTCAAGTCTTCCATTCCAAGCTGCCTCTCGGCACTGCATTGCAGCTGCCTCAACCCCAAGGTTCACAGGGCAGGGATGGTGTGTGCACTTCACCTCTGTGCCTCCCTCAGAAGCTCCCTGCTGGACTCTGGTGACTGGGCCCTGATGAGTGGACATAGTACAAGGTGGCCTCAATGCAGCTGCCTCAAGACAAACAACGAGGAGTAATGAGGGAATGCAGCTGGTCAGAGAGACCCCAGCCCAGTCCCATCAACTTCCTCGTTCTGCGGGGAGCTGTGGGGCGTGGGCTGGTAAGTCTAGAGAGGAGGCAGCAGCTCTGAAGTCTCCCCTCTGACTTGGAGCCGGGGTTTAGACACTGAGGACATGGGAACTCTGGCCCAGGTGAGCCAGTCATCCCACGAGAAAAACCCGCCGCAAGCTGGACACAGGCAAAGGTACAGACAGCTCAGCATTTACCTTCCCAGGGCACCAAGTTCCTCTCCCAGGCCCACTCAGCTGCCCAGGCTCTGCTAATGTGTCTCCTAGCACAACCCCAGCACCACCGGGAACTCTACAGGCCAGAGGCTTTTCCTTCACAGAGCCAGGAGCCCACCTTTCCCCATGGGTCACCACATCCTCCCAAATCTCCGTCCTCTGTGTGTCTGCTGTCTCCACTCAGCCTGGAACTCTCTGTCACTATTTGTGTCTGAGTTCTGTCCCTGAGACTGGATGCAGCAGAGAGGGAGGGCCCTGTACACTTGGTTCATTCTTAGGAGCAGAGAATGGGGCGCCACATCGAGGAAATGTTTGCTTCTGTAAAGATGACAACAGACCTGCTGCCCATCCCCATGAGGAGGAATGGCATCTACCATCCTATGTTTCATCACACCACAAAAAAGTGTTCTCCTCTTCCCAGTCTGCACTCTCAACAACAGACTTACACGTAGGCTTAGAAAAGACAAGACCTTTAGTCTTTTCGACTTGTTATCCACATAAGCAAAAGGCTATGTGGGAGGCAGACCAAAAAAATGGATCCTGTTTTAAGATTTTGACCTTTGTTGGGATGCTGGCTTTGCTTTTCTCTTCCCCAAACTCTGAACAGATCTGGCTGGCACCTGGAAGATGGAGAGGGCAGGAGTCTTAAAACTGATAACATTGGTGAGTGTACCCACACCAGACAACAGTCCCCGCACACCCTGGTGGGGCCTTCCTGGCTTCTACTTGCTGAAAGCTTTGGAAGAACCCACAATAGGTCCATCTGGAAGCCTGCTTAGCCAGGATGAGCCTCTGGATCCAGATCCATTTAGACTGTCTCCCCACAACAGGCCTTGGAGGCTTTCCATCCTAGGTGCTGCCCCATCAACCCTCCCGATATGCCACAGAGGAGGCAGATGTGGGCAGACATCTGAGGTGCACAGAATATTAGGCTAGACCAGGTTGGGGTTCCCATTAGACGCTTGGGGAAAACTACACCTGCCTGGCAGTCAACTGTTGGTGGCCCTCACAGATCCTCAGTTCTTCCAACGTCCTTCATTTATAAGGGAGAAGAGAGGCCCAGGACAGAGGGGTGACTTGTCCAAGGCCACAGAGAACTAGCTGATGGCTGAACCACACCTCCTAACTCCAGCTCGGGTCTCTCTTTATGATCTCATATCCCCATCCATCGTAGACAAAAAAATAGGATTTGGAAAGAACTAGGGTCAAATCCTGATTCTGCCACTGACTGCACTTCTCTCTCACCAGCCAAATGGGAACAATTATAGTAATGAAATGAAGCCGCACATGCCACATGGCGCAGGTGGCCTTCACCTGCATTAGTGCACATCACCCTCAACTCCTCGTGGGAAAAGCTATTAACTGCTTCATTTTATAGCCAAGAAACTGAGGCTCAGCAAGGTAAAGCCACTTGCCTAAGACGACAAAGCTACTAAGTGGTGGGTCCAGGCCCCCAAGTCTTGATTCTAGAGCCAGGGGGGTCTTGGCTGGTCCACCATTCTGTAAGCCCACTAACAGCACTCCTGGAGGCCGGAGGATCTGTGGGTGCATCCAGCCACTCAGACACATACATATCCTGGGTGCTGACCTCCCACGTATCTGGCCAGCCCATGTGGGGGTCAGGGGAGCCACAGAAGTGCATTAGATTCATCTTGGCCCCAAAAGCTCCCAGGCTAGCCAGGCAGAAGGATGAGGACACAGTGACAAACAGGCTGGCATGTCAGTGTAAACTGCCATGGGCTCCAGAGAAGGCGAGAGGTAAACCAAGGCCCAGGGTGGCCACAGGATGGGAGCCGACAGGGGGCTGCGATGAGAGCCGGGGTCACCTGATGGGTCAGAACTCTTCCCTTCGTCCGTGCTGCCCCCATGAGATGAGGGCCAGGAGACCTACACCTAGGGGACACCCCAACTTGGGAAATCCCACCATGAATCTGGGAAATGAAGCAGGAGACCTGCCCACTGCCTGTCTGGGCCTCGTTCTGCCCCGGGCTGCCCCTTAATGGACTTGCCATTCTGCCTCAGACATTCCCGAGATCTCTGACCCCGCTCTTCCTTATTCTTTTTCCTGCCATGATAGCATTGGGTGATGTTACATCCAGCAGCCTCCAAGAGCCACGTAGGCAGGGCCCTGGGAGGCCCTGCTGTGGGTGTGATGGAGGCAAACGCCAGCCCATTCCACTGAAACTCTGGGCCCTGGTGGTTTAGTGGAAGAGCCTTTGCCATCACTGACGT